AATATTGAAGAAGATAATTATGGAAACCCATTAGATTCATATAATTTTGGGGAAGATACATTCGAATATATAAAATACCTCTTCTATTGCGGAGCAGGTCGATAGGCGATGAATCAGAGATGCGAGACTCTGTCTCTTCTTCGAATCATGACTCAAAGAGCCTACGTGTATTAGAAAAAATATAAATAGATATTTAACAATTTTTTTTATCGAAATCGAAATCGGTAGTCTATGCTTTCACCGTTACTATTTGGATTGGATTTTGATAAGCCAACATCATGCGTTTTAAACCCGCAAATCGGAGATGTCATAGTCTCGTGGAACATGCAAATCGTTGATAATCGATGAGTGACGATCACCCAATCAAGATTGATAATGCTATATCTGGGATAATCGTTACATGATCTAAATAATTATTTTTAACGCAAAATGAAATCTAGCAATTCTTTATTATATTAAATTGGACCGCTATAAACTGCTCTCCAGCACGACTAAATAACTTATCACATTATTACGATAGCTGTTTGTCTCTCACTTCCTCATCCTCTCCATCATCTTCTTCCTATTCCTGTAAAAGTGATTCACGAATTTTAACTAATGCTCTCAGCACTGATCGTCTTCCGGCAGGTTCTGCTAAATCTAGACCAGCATTTGGATCACTTCCCCCCGGCCACCTTAAAATCGTAATCGTCTGCTTTTGTGGTAGCCCCTTCTTAAGTTCTTTCCAATATGCCACAGAAATCTCAGCCTTGTAAAATGTAACATACGAAGAGATGACACGAACAGCGAATATAGTCTGATCCGTAATTGCACGAGAGAGACGCACATTTTCATCTCCGCAGGCAAGTATCTCGGCAAGCATTTGCGCTTCCCCAAAATCAGGTGGAGAAACGTTTTTCAAATGCTTATGCTGTTAAGAAAAAGGTTTTGAGTCATCAAAAATGTGGACTTGTCAAACAATCAAAAACATACAGACGTCTACGACTATCATATTAACTTCTTTCTTATCCACGACAAATTCAGGTCTTGCAGATATTCTCTTATCACTAACGAATAGCCTGTAGCATTCTTTGACTCTAGGTTTAGGCATGATACAAACTTAAGAAATTGTTAGATATATAACAGACATCTTTTACTATTACTCACCTAACACCCAAGGGCCAACCATTGAATTCAACAATGCGATTCAACAGATGGTTTACTAACGTGTCGGTCTTGGATTCGTCCGTGCCTATATCGAGGCCTGCATTCACGACGACTCTGTGCAGGTTGTTAATGAATGTCTTAACGTATATATCCGGAATGTCAAAAATCTCGACATCGAAATCAGGTCTCCGAAGCATATCACTAGAGATATTGGGGGAAAAATAACTAAGAGGGATGTCCGTGACTAGACATTATTTAAATTATAAGCAATAGGTTCGCTAAATTGTTTAACATAATGTAATTCTTACCTTCAACATCAGGTATGACTTCGTTCTCGTTGGAAGCCGATTTGAAGGTTGCGTTTAGTGCCTCTATATCTTCAAACGTAAATTTAGATGCCGAAGAAGGGAGATCCTTTAAGCCATAGCTGGAACGAGAACTGGAACCGGAACTGAGCCTAAAATTACTCGTAGCTCCTGCAAGCACTGAGTCTTCTCTGGCAAGGCGCTTAGGCTGTTGACGGGTGGCAGAAGAGCTCGCAACTTCAATTTCGACGTTTTTTCGTTTTTTTGAAGTTTTTTGTGCAGTCTCTTTTGGAGAACTCTTCACTTTGGCGCTTTTTTGTTTCTGGTTTTTTGAAGACATCAGTAACACGAAAAAAGCTGTAAGAAAAATTTTTAAAAGGCACGCGATAATCAGATCAGCAGATCGTACGATTACATCATACATGAAAAGTTCCATGACCTTCTAATTTATTCTGTGATATAGCATGTGATGTGTTGATCGAACATCTGTGTTACGCAATCGATTTTATTACTAGACATAAAAATTTCTTGGACAGTATTTTCCGAGAATTCCCCAGCCAGTAAGAAGGCTAGGATTGAGAATTTACCAAGAAATAGCCGGTAGATAGTTTTCCGCTTCACATGTATTTTTTATTGAGCCTACGACTAATAAAGAAAAAGCGATCTCCATATTTACGGATCACGTATAACATATTTCGTTCTAATTTCTGGATATACAATTTCGCTGATTAATGTAGACCCTTTAGGTCATGATTATTCTTATATTATGCAATGTCGTGATATAAAACCAAGATATAAAATTTTAAATGACTTGATGGGTAAGTATAAAACGTCAACAAAACGTATTTATCAGATTTGGAGAGGGGAAGAAGCTAATAGAGTTCTCTGGGATCAACCTATACCCCATGATGATGATGACTCTAATCAAAATTTAAATATTTTGCATAATGCACAAAGTGTACAAACACAGTCTGATTTATCTGATAATTCATCTAGTACAGATGTAATATCTTCATGTGTCGAAAATACTAGACTTTGTCCATTACCCAAAAAATCTAATACTATGGAATCTATATCATCAACAAGTCAAAAAAAGAAGGTTAGTATAAGTAAAGTGGATCACTCTGAAGTTTTACCTGATGAACCAAAGATTCAAAACTCCACTTCCTCACATTCAGTAAAAAAAAGTGCCCCTTTTATAGACAATACATATAGGAGAAAATCCGATCTTGGAAAATTAATGAAAGATACTGAAAGATTAGCTCCTATATGCCCGCCTTTGCCTCAGTAAGCTGAGAGCATCTTTCTGCAAGAACTTTACCTGCATTTAAAGCCATATCAAGCCACCCTTCAGTTTTTATGAGTCGCTTTTCAAGTTCATCATATTTTTTTTTAAGTCTTCCTCATTGGTTGAGTTAGATGAGATGGTAGGCTCAGCGAGCCATTGCTTTGCAATAGATACTTGAGGCAATGAATCTTGCTTCTCTTTTGGTGGATCTAATGCTTCTGAAGCCTTGTTAAAAGTTGGGATAATGTAAGACTTACCATGTAACTTCATTCGGAATTGATTTTTATTTGGATCAAGAATACCTTGAACTTTTCGAATCCATGTCATGCCTAAACATAACATTGGTTCAGGTTCACCATTATCAATATGTGTAAAATTTCCAGTAGCTGTAACAGTTTTACCATCTTTATCTTTTATAGTGACTGGCACATCTGTAAACCATCCTAATGATTCAGTGATATGTTTAGAATTACCTTTTATATCGAAGTTAGATGGCTTATCAGCTTTCCATCCAAGGGCATTAATTGTTGCATCATTCAAGGCTCCAAATTCACTCCCATTATCTAAAAAAGATTCAGAAATAGATAAATCATTTATTATTATACTAGCATTCAGGTATTGTAAAGATGAAAACCACTCATCTGATTCTTTTTTCTGAACTGTACGAGACTGGCACATTTTTCGCATTGCTGGTGAAAGCTTTGGAAATAATTCATTATATGTTTTTGGCTGGTTGGGTGATGCGAAGTATTGAGTCTTCAACTCTTCTGAAGATAACTTATTTACTGGTAATATCCGTTTTTTTTTTCTGATGAATCATACCATATATCTTTTTCTTCATCATATCCATTATTTTCTTCATTAGCTGAAACGCTATAATTTATTGGTTGAAAGGGATAATATCGTTGTGTTCGATTTGATTTGGCTACTGGTTTTTGGGGTTGATTGTCTATATTAAGGCGAGATAACATATTCCCAATTTCATCTACTTTCTCCTCTAATCTAGAGTTATCTTTTTGCTGTGGACGAGGTCTTTGAAAAGGTTTTTCAGGATAATTTGAATCTAAATCATATATACCTAAATCGTTAAAAAATTTCACTAAATAATAATTTTCATAATCTTTGTCTGTTTTTAAATTTGATGGGGGACCTTTTGGTTGTCTAACCGGTTCAACTGGTGCCTGAGTTTTCTGTGCTTTTTGGGATTGAACTTCCTTTCTTAAATTTTCTATCTCAGCATCAGAATCAGATTTCTGTTTTGCTAATGCCTCATTAATCATTTTTTTGTATATCAGGTGATTGCGAAATTACTGGAGCTTCTATTATTTTGGGGTTATAGGAAGATTGTTGATAAATTTTACCTTCATTCAAATTTGGAGTACGTTCTAGCCACATATTTTTTAATTCAGTGAAAAATGCATTAATACCAGCTGGATTAGCAATTTTCATCCATGTATAAAGCTCACCTGGTAAATGATTTTTAAGAAAACCTAAAACTTGTGCATCATCATCTGCTACTCCTATTATTAGTAGTCGAATTCTAGCTTCATAAGTATCAGGAGTATCAT